AATATTTTAATTAGTGAATTATAACCTGTACCTTTTACCATATACAACACGGCAAGATAATGGACAGATGGCTAGGGATGGATGAATAGTGGACATAGCTAGGACAAGTTTTTTTTTTTTTTTTTTTTCGGCCACAGAATGGAGTTTGGTGGTTGGGTTAAGTAAGACTTGAGAATCAGATAATGCAACCCACCACAACCAGTTTAAGGAAGGAAGACAAGAGGCAGACAAGACAACTCACCACCGCATAGGCTCTAACACGTCAAAAGAAGAAGATTCAATTCCCAATTCCTTCACCAAGTAGCTGAGATTACCCAAACCCATGAAAGCACATTTCCTTTCTGGCAACCACTCTTTGGCATCGTCCATTAAATGCAACCACAAAACCTTAATTAGACGATGTGAGTGGTTGGTACCCGTCAGCGTTAAATCATTTACTCGATTTTTTATAGCCTCTCAAGATCATGGAAAATGTTACAGGAGGCTAAACATGTATAACATGGATTGAGAAAGTATTCGAGATTGATGTCAATGATTTGACTCATACTCGAATGGCTCATATTATACTTTTGCATGCTTTATTATTTGACGTTAGAATCTCTTGGTACAATTAAAAGAAAATTTATTGCTAAATCACTTGGATTATTAAATCTATATGCTATTGAACTTGAATAACATTTCTCATGTGATATAGATATGAACTTATAAAAGAAAAGGTGCACCAATTAATTAAGCTACCTGAAAGCTTAATCAGTACTCACCAAGTTTCAAGCAAAATATTTCAAAACATCTTGACAAAATTCCAAAACGGCACAGAAAGCTAAACACTAAACTACACCTTCTAAACTGCTTTGGATAGCAAGCAAGACCTCATCACTTTGATCATATCAGTGAGGGAGATCAGCCCAACAAGTAAGCCCTGTTGATCCACCACCCAAACTCGGTGTACATGTTTAGATACAGCCTTCTCTATTGCTTCTGAAAGGGGAGACTCTAGCTGGCACATTACTAATTCCCTCCGCGGCCTACCTTCATTGGAATCTTCATACAAAGGGCTTCTAGACACCTGCTCCGTGAATTGTAGTGCATTCAGAGGCAACCATGTTTGTAGTGTAGAGAAATGGCATCCCTTCAAATCCGTGGAAGAAAATGTACCTATTGGCTTCCTCCCTTTCCCCTGCAATTGAACAGCATACAATCATATTGCAAAAACTAACATTTTTTTTTTGTTAATTTTAACCTTTCAACTTGATTCACTTACGTATGTAACTTCAGTGAGATCTTCTTGGCGAGAACCAGAGGCCTCAACTATGGGAACAGCATTGAGGAGAGCAGTCTTCAAGCATTTTATGGCGTCCTTAACTGTGGTACGATCTGTTATGGCGTAGACGTTCTCATTTACTGCTCCTAATTCCTTGATGCTGCATGATAGGATGCCCTGCAGCTCAGAGGAATGGTACTTTCTGAGGAACCTCAATAAATCCATTTGTGTGAGCATTCGATAAGATGATGCAGACTCCACCAGTTCCACTCTGGCCACATTCTCCATTTGGCCATCCACCGGAACAAGTGCACGGTGGATTCCCTTGCTAAACAGTTCCATACAATCCAAAATGCTGCCCAATGAAAATGTAAATTTTGTCATCATGACAATTTAATTGCTTTTCATTTACTTAATTAACAAGCCTCATCATGTGTAGGTATAACCATAGAAAATCTGGAATAACACATGAATGGGCTTCCACATGAGATGCCATAGTAAAAAACATCTAACCTAAGACCAAAACAAAAACTCCAAGGCTGTTTAGCTATTACAGAATAACTAATAATCATTCTCTAATGGAAGAAATAACAGTGTTTAAATTATAAATGACAACTATGTTTGTTGGAATGAATCGAAAAAGGGTGGTGGAGAGAATAAATGACAACTATGTTTAAATTATAAATATTATCATCTATAGAATATTATTGTCAGTTATCAACTGTTTTCTACCAACTAAATCAAATAATGCATAATTTAAGTGGTATTTTCCAATCAGCAGTACAATATCTAGAAAATTTTTGAAATTTAACTGATGTATCAGTATGGTTTCAAATGGAAAAAAAAAAAAAAAAAAAAAAAAAAGAAAGAAAGAAGAAGAAGAAGAAGAAGAAGGAAGACTGACCTTGTGGTTGGGTTCAGAGTCCACAAACTAAGGCCCTCAAGACAGTGCCCAATGATTGACGACACCGGAACTGTCATCTTCTTATCAAGATCAGATACACCATGAACACCTCCGCCGGTTTCATCCTCATGATCACCAGCAATATGTGCCACGATATCCAGCATGGTGACCATCCCAATGTAATGCTTCCTCACCCCTCCTGTCTGCTTATCAGCCTCCATAATCATGGACCCACCAGCCCCTATCCAGTGTCCCGGAGGTGCGGCCACTGGCACCGCCACCACCCTGTTGGCGACGAGTGTGTTCATGGTGTCGCCCACAGTGGCCATGTATGGCACCTCCACCAGTCTCTGTTTCCCCATCAGATCTTTAACCGTCTTGTCTACCAACCGCTGACTCTCACCGCCCTGCTTGACGATGGTGGTGACACCGGCATCATCGTGCTTTCGATCTCCGTATTTCTGCATATTTCGATTTGCTTGGATTTCAGAAGGATCAAGAAGCGATCTTCATTTGGATATGTAGAACTGTGGGTGACAGATTGAGATGGTGGGTTCATTCCACGTGGCAGAATAGAGCACTGCTGGGACAGCACGAGAATGCCAGATGGCATTTGTTTACAGTTCTTTTATGAGAAACGAGGAGGTGCCTAAAGCGGTACCCGCAGAGAAGGGGAAAAAATAGACTGTTACTTGAAGTTTCTTAAAATTGCAGTTTGGTCCTCCCACGGAACCAGATGGGTGCATCACTAATTACGGCTGATTTAGAGGAAATTCATGGTAAATGTGACGTAGGAGATGTCTTTGTCGAATTAGTATGGGGTACATTTAGATTGATGAAAGGATTTACTACATTTGTCACATAACCATTGCGTCTCTGTTTCGTTTCTAATGATTATTTGCAATCGCTTGGCATAAAGTGAGCATATCAATTTATCTAATGACTGCAATTGATAAGTTTATCGACTTTTACTTGATCTCGTCTATTCTACTTCAGTGTGAAATCACCACTCAAAGTTAGCTTGGCTTGCAATATAAGCCTGGAAACTTGCATGTCCAATTTTCACAAAGTAAATTTGGTTAGCAACAAAGCTGTACAGATTTGTTGTTTCGATCTACAATTTTCAGTTGGTAACACAAAATTTACCCTGCCCTAAATCAAATAACGGATTTAACTCAAGTTAAAAGAAAGGACAGAAATCAATATTTGAAGAGTCAGACACAAAGTGATACATAGAAGGAAAGAGCAAAATCTGAAGAAAGCGACACATAAAAGAGTCAAATAGAAGCGGATTCCTTAATCCACTCTTTAACCAGTAAGACTTCCGGCGTCCTTCCTAGTTACATTTCCAAATTTAGTAAGGGATACAGATGCAAACACTTACCCAGCATTACAACTATTTTAAGAAGAGAATGTTTTATTGTAACATTACACGACTGTCAATTTTGCCGATAAGTGCTGCGAAACTATTTTTTTTAAAGTAGCCTAGTAGAAATTGCCTTATTTTTTTGGGCTTATAAAATTGAACATTTCTAAAATTAAAACAGACAACCATCCATTCCCATTAAGGTCTAAGAAACCTGTAAAATAACCTGACACATACTAAAATACATCAGCACAATAAAAAAAGCAATAATAGCAATTATTCTGTATGTCTAATATGAGAGGCAAACTCCTGAAGATGCAGAGCTAATAACTAATTTTGCCTCTTCCCCTGCCTCCTACCTATTTTATTATAACATATTACTAAACATTTCTGCTCATATTTACGGAGGGGATATCCCAGGGTCTAGAATACAGATTCATGTTTAAAGACAAAACTAATCTTCTAATCACTTTTGCCAACACGCATACTGTGTATCCTATGCTAAGAACCCAATGATTTGCAGCTCCCCGTAAAATAAAATGGGGCACACGATGGGACAAACTATCATCAGTTAAAACCATGAACCAGGTGTTGCTACCTTGGCTGTTGTTGCTCGGATCCCCCTGCGGATGAGATACTAGGTCCAGCACCATTTTCAACTGGAGGGGAGATGCCCCACTTTCCTTCTGATTCTGGTGGCTCCAGAACATGGACTCCTCCATCACTAAGTCCAAGTGCAAATTGATTAGGATCAGTTGGATGGGCTGCAACTACAACCGGATATACCCTTGAGCTGCCAAAAAAACAGAATTCAATTCAGTAACAAGAAACAAAAAGTACATAGGTACATATCTATGCTAAGTCATATTTTGGCAAGGACAAAAAATACCTGGGATTTGGTGGTAAATAAGCACCAGGACTGATCCGGCAACGAAGCTGAAGAGTTGTTGCAGATAGAATACCCACAGTTCCGTCTTCAAAGCTTGCATAGATTGACAGACTATCACATGAATACACAGCATCTGTGATTGAACCATTTGATTCTCTGGAAATCCACTGTCAGAGAAGTAAAAAAGAGGTTGATTTAAATTCATATGTCATAATTACAATACTAAAAACTAGCCATATTCCTGAAAGGCTGAAAAATGTTAATGAGAAAAAAGGAAAAAAAGTGGTTTCCAGCATACAAAAAGCTAATCAATATCACTGGCTCTAGGCTGAAGAAAACAGATCATAAAAAGGAAGCATGATATATTATATCCAGGTGGCAGCTCAGGAATGAAGAGTGCCCAATAACCAAACATGCTATTGGATATTGGTTACTGTCTCATCATATTATCAGAAACATAGATCACTAGGAAAACAAATAGGTTAATCACCCAGATAGAGCCTACAAATTCATAAAACAAACCTGCTTCAAGCACTCTAGCTTTGGAGCTTCATATATGGCTAGCTGCGTTCCATGGATGGCTAGCAAATGTATTTGATCTTGGTGAAAGTGAACACGAGTGTGTCCAAGAGGATTCAGCACACGACCACTAGGAATTGGCAAGGATTTGCTAGCCTGCTTCTCCCATACATCCATGCTCCATACGCACAACTGGAACCAATAAAAAGTATTAACATCCCCAGAATTCCACAGTTCACATTACAGGTAAAAGAAAGCATTCCCAGATTTCTACAAGCTCACACTAGGAGGTAAAGTGACAAATGAACCTCTATGAAGAAATTAAAGGCAAGAAGAAGCCACTAACCTAATGTGGAATTCTCTTAACCTTATTTATGCCTTCTTATTTCTTTGCTTTGTTAGTCATGCAATGTGCATAAAACAACATTAAATGAGCTTGGATGGTATAAAGATTAGATCAGACAGCATACATTTATGGGTCATGATAGACATAGTGTAAGAAGGCTTAAAACTTAAAAGTCATTGATTATAGTGATTAACCATGCAACAATTTATGGATTATGGCAAACCCGGTGAGGAGACTTAAAAGGCTCTAATCATGGTGATTAACCATTTATCCTAGTTTCAATTTATCACATAGAATAAATCCAGACTCCATATTGGGTTTTATTTGCTGCTTTTCCTTTCTGTTTTCCATATTGCACTCTGTTGATTTCTTCTCAAGAAAATATCATTTGTTGTATTTAAACACAAGTTTGGACCTGAAAACTTATCTCTTCTATCCTCAAAACATACTTGGATAAAAAGAGAGTTACTAACTATAAGTTGTCCTTTTCCACTCTATAGTTATCAGAACATCCCTGTTTATAAAGTCCATATATGAAGTATCAGTTACATACTTCTTGGCTACCACAAGTAATGCTAGTAATAAATACTCTTCCACATCAAACAAAAGGGGGGAAGGGGGAATAATCATCAAAGAGTCAATCAGTATGCAAACAGTACATGAATTTGTTATGACTGCATTTTCTTTAAACATAAACAGATATAGGATAAATGAACATGCATGCAATATCATAGCTTACATATCTAGGAAAGATAGATTTCACAGTTCTATGCTATTGCACACAACATACCTGAGCATCAGCTCCTGATGATACAAGAACATTCAGAACATTAGAAAATGCAAGACCAGTAACTCTCTTTTGATGACCTCTCAGCTTGCTTTTGACCTGTCACCATGACCAAATATGTACAGCAGTTTAGAACCTTGGAACCTCAAACACATTCATTCTTTACCCACTAATGATTGGAGTTTTTAGTTCAGGGAAAACACCTCATCAACCCGGACATTGTAGATTTGAATTGAAGAGTCATCCATGCCTATGGCAATAATGTTGTTGTCCTGAGGATGGAAAGCAAGAAATGTTGCAGCAGGAGGTGGGGGCATGAACGTTGTCATTGTCTGTATTAGAAAAGATAGCTCATTCAAGTACAAGATCACCAGATATAATTTTTACCAACATTTCAAGCCAAAAGAACAGGAGAAAAGATAAATCATTCACACAACGCAATTACCTTAAATGTCATCATATTAAACAGAGAAATTTTTCCTCCGGATGCTGACATAACATAAGAGTCATTCTTTGAAAGAGCAAAGCATGGAACAGCATCTTCTTGGTTTGTCTCACGCATATCATTGGTCATCAATATCCCACTAGATGGTTGCCATAACTGTGGTGCCAAATTACTAGTTGCCTACAACAGGCCAAGCATTTGTAAAGAGAAAGGTAACCAGATAATTAGGCAGGGAAATAAAAAAAAAAAGGGTAACAGATAATACCAAAAAAAAAAAAGCTGTTTAAAATAAAAGCTATGAATACCTTTCCAGAAGGGTGGCGCTCATTCTTTTGCCACTTCCACAATTTGTGTACAGCATTATCTGTTAGTGCTAATAAGGCACTTCCTGAGTTTGTATATATCATTCTAACAACCTGAATTGAAAACAAATGAAAGTTAAAAGGGGAAGGTCAAGTACACACCTTATATCTTCAGCATATGTGTTTCGAAAGAGCGTACATTTTTTTAAGCAAATTGTGGAAACATATTCACAAGAAAAAGGCAAATCTCAGTCAAAACATCTAGAAAATCCTCCCTTCTCCAACATGAAGACCACCAAAAGAATTAACAACCAATGTGCTAACACTAACTAACCAAATTGCTAAGTTTCTTATGTTCAAATATATCTTAGTAAAAAGAAAGAACTTGACATTAGATTAACTTGCATGAGAACACCCTCCTGCAACCCTAAAACCTAAACAGAGCAATATGTACCTTTATTGGCAACAGACTGTCAGGAAGGCGCAAGGAACGAAGTTGAGATGATTCATTGATTTCAGTTAGTTTCCAGAGCTTAGATTTCTCTGAATCATCAGCAACTCTAGGTTTTACCTCTGACATAGAATGGCTATCACCATTCTGCAGAATTCAAGAAGTATATCAATAGAGCAAAAGAGAGAGGTTAATCCAAACAAACACATTAAATATTCGCCAAATTTCAGGATATTAACTCCAACTACAAACATCTAACCATTAAATGCCAACTCAGTGCAGCATCACAGTCATCCACGTGACAGAGGCATCACTACTTACCAATCCAACAATTGCAGTCATTGCTGAACTTCTATCAACCACCCCAACAGCTGTTCCAGCAATTGAACTTGAAGCACCAAATGCACTAATTATGGGTCCCTGAAATATGAATGGTGCTACAGAAGTTTAGTCCACATATACATCTCGACTCTCCTATGAGTCTAAGAAGTTATTTACCTTTGCAGCTGCAGCAGAAGCAACTCTAGAGGCATCAAGAGCACGATTTTCAATGGAGCGCAAAAGCCGAGCACCATCAGCATTTGCAAGTATTTTGATTCCATTGTCACTTGTTGACACAGCCAGCAAAATCCCTTCCTTATTGAAGCGTAAGCAAGGAGAAGACTAGACAACAGAAGATTGTAATTTTTAAATTATAAGACAAGCTTGTACAGGATTAAAAAGGCAACAAAATAGAAAACTCCCCAATACCGGTAATCCCCCCTCAGCGTTGATGGCTTTCAGAAGGGTAACATTGTCCATATCCCAAAATTTGATCTGGAACTCATCACCAGCAGCCAAGAATCGATTTCTGGTTGTATCAAACTGCACAACCCCCACAGATCGCTTTCCAAGCCCATGGTATGTTCGCTTGACAGCTCCCTCACTCTCATTCCACTCAACAATGTGTGACTCTCCCTCTTTATTAGTCCCACATGAGAATAACCTGCCACATACATGACAAGAAGAAACTAATAATGAACAGGATAACCAAAAATAACAGTTGCCACAGTAAGCAGAATCTTTACTAAGCCAAAAATAAAAAATAAAAAATAAAAAAAAAATAAAAACATGATGTAATACCTGGTCCCATCCGCACTATAAGCCATCGTAGTGCAAGAACGCCCAGGTGCCTCGTAATCAACTCTTGAGCCCATGTTATCATACAACCAAGCCTTTATTTTCCCATCAATTGCTGTTGAAAAGATGAACTGGAAGAAGAATAAACAAGGTTCACTATAAGTAGATATGACAAAAACAAAACAAATTCAGTCAAAAAGCTCTTCAAATAGTTCAACAACTGCGCCTCATTGTTCTCATCTTTAACAAACAGAATGCAAGACTAACATAAGAAATTGTAAGATTATTTGTTTTTATAGGCCTCAGAATCATGAGCTTTGTCATCTTGATACACAAAAAAAATATTATGGAAGGACCTTAAAGCTCCACTTTACCATAAAAATTTGAAAAGAGTTAAAAACTCTTTTTTTTTTTTGGCCAAAGAAAGAGTTCAACTGAGATGGTATCATAGTAGGATTTTAACTCCCTTTTCAATGACATTACCATGATTGACACCCAATCCCACTGCCATGATTAACACCCTGATCCCACTGCAGTAGAGATGGTAATTATAACCAACACCTTACAAGTGTGAAATGTGCACAACTTCAAACCAAATCTGGTAAATTTGGGATATTTTTTAACACAGGAATGGAGAAGGATAATAATTTTTAATGGATCAAATAGCGGAGGAAGTATGGGTAAGGGATTTCCTAGCTCAAATTACCAAAACATAAACATAGTGTGACTACGTGTGTGTGTGTGTGTGTGTGCGCGCGTGTGTAATTACTTCATCATATTACAAATGATTATATAACTATGGAAGTTGAGCAGGGATCTACTTACACTAGCATAAGTTTAAGAAACTCTTATACCAATTTCCAGCCACACATTTTAAAATTTAAGGGGCTGTTTTGAAAATTCAAGTGCTGCATTAGTTGCTGAAATTTTGAAATGAGTGATAAGATTTGGTGTAACACTTGCACCAGTGTAAGTTGATCCTAACTCATAGAAGTCATACATATTTAAATATAAAATTACATTTGTATATTGATTTTCAACGCCCAAACCAGAAATGCAAGAGTAACATGAATGTAAAAACTGAATAACAGCTTAAATGTAATACAAGAAATACCTGAATGGTTTCCTTCTGATGTGGACACACAGAATAGACAGGAGCTTCATGACCCTCAAAAGCGAACATCTTAGTACCTGCAATAGCATCCCACACCTGCAAAGAGTTGAAATCTTACAACTGCAGACAAGGCACTTACAATATCTACCGTGTAGAAAATGCCAACCAAAGCCAACCTTAATTGTCTTGTCCTCTCCGCAAGTTATTATGCATAACTGTTTGTTTGGGTGAGAGAAAGCAACATCACTGACATTCCCAATGTGAGCATCAATCTGAAAAAATTGAAAGCAGAAACAACTGTTATTTTGAATGATGGATATATATTTTAGTTAACCTTCACCCCCAAGAGCAAAATATGAAACTATCCTAGAGGCAAAATCACATCAAAATCCCAATATCTGTTTCCACCCAATACCATCCAAAATATAACACTTTGGGAAAGAAAAAAGTAAGATTTTACAGCAAGAAACTAATAACTAACATTCAACTAATCTCCATTGTTCCCCACTCCTAGCTTCTCCCTCTCAAGTCTCAAATAACCCAAACATGCAGCATAAAACTATCAGCATTGTTGCTGCTGCTGCAGCTGCTGCCACTATCGCCACAAATAAAGTTATCTCTGTAACTATGTTAGACAGGATAAATACCGTGCACAGGCACCTTAGAAGATCAAAACAGCATGGCTATTTCAATGTAGCAAGCAGACCTTGGATGTCAAGGGCTTATCATGCCAAACCATTGTCATTTTATTTGTTTAGAGGTCACATTATGCACATGGTTATTTATGTGTGGCTCCTATTCTTAATAAATAGATGGCTACAGGTAAGTTATGTAGTTGGCCAGATGAAGTGATTTAAAAATTATAGCTGCGTGATTTCTTAGAACAAACAACAGAACACAAACCTCTAGATGATTCCGCAAATCATCACTTCCATGATATGAATATACGTGCACTATGTGCTTGGAGTAGGCAACACCTGAATGAGATATTGTAAAAAACAAAATTATCATCAGGCACAGATGCCAAAATGTTTATTGAGAGCATCAATAATTTCACTTCCTATTATAAGAGAGAGGTAAAGGTGAAATCAAGTTTATTATTACAAATAACTTCTTTGGCAATGGTTCTCTCTAAATTTCTTAAAAGGTGATATTGATTATGAAAGCTGAAATAAGAACTGTTTTCACTGTTTAGCACAGAACCTGGAAAATCATGATAAAGAATGCATAATAAAATTTTAGAATTATGAAAATATTGATATTCACTTCAACATACCCAAAAGGGCACCATCTGGGCTCCAGATAACTCGGTTTACTGCTGCAGTATACTCATTGGCCAAGGATGCCTGTTATGAAAACAAAGACTGAGATCGGCCTTGCAATTACTCCAAAAAAATCATGTTATATGTGGAACAGCGAAAATTTTTCCTCACATGGCAAGGCTTACCTGTAGAGGCATTGAACATGTACTAAGATCCCAAACCTTGAAGTTTCTAGAGACAAGCCGCTCTTTACTCCAAACATCCCAGATTGTTATATCACCAATGTTTGTTCCAACTAAAAGTGGGGAAAAAGAAACAAAAAATATAGTTGGACAAGTAAACATTCATGTGAAAGTCACAACTGACTAAACATAAGATGAGATAATCAAAATAAAGAGACAAAAAAACTTAAGGAATGAAAAGAGCTGACCAAGAAGCAAAGTTTGTTGAACCGGATGAAAATCCATGCTCTTGACAGCAGAACCCTGATTTAAATTTCCCATGACATTCTTGGGCAAATCCTCAGAAGAATACAATGGGTAGGCATGACTCTGGCCTGGATAAGTGACTGGTAAAATATTAACTGGTAGATTGTTAACCTACATGAGAATAAGGCACACCATCTAAGTACATTCATTGCATAGCATACAATTAAAAATCAAAAGGAATAGAAAAATGACATGCAAAATCAACTGAAAGAAATAACAGAATTTAAGATTATCCAACATCATTTATTCTGATGTCAACATCTTTGGATCATCAACAGTCACTGCACTGGAAGGTAAATTTCCAAAATGCAAAATACAGATACAACGGAAAGGGGATAACAGAATAGTAAAAGGGAAAAAATAACTAGCAACAATATCAATACCCAACGTAAATGAGCAGTTTCAGATGTAGCATCTAAAACCCAAAATGAAGAAGAGAAAGAAGAAGAAGAAGATGCAGCAGAAGGAAGGATATAGCACCTCTTCTGATATTCCAAAAGCTCTTCCTCTCTTCAATACACTTTCAGAATCTGCAGTTTGATAGTCCATTGCTAGGTTGTTAGTTGGAGGAGTCCTAGGGCGCTTTACCATAGATGCTACCATAACAAATATATATATAACAAATGGTTATAAGACCTACTTGGAAATAGAGTTGTATTCAGGAAAAAGATTAAAAGGTGAAAAAACAAGTAAATTTGGAAGTATACTATGCAAATTCTTGTTGAGATTGGTTGAGTGGGTGAGGAGGCATTGCAATCAAACAAAAGTGTCTACCACAAATCAAATAAGCATGATACCAACTCAAAACTGGAACACACAGGTAAATGAAGATATATATGAAACTGTCCTCTTTCAAAATATTACACGTCCAGGTGAAAGGAAGAAAAGAAAGATAAACTTGAAAATTCCAAACATTTCTTTAGCAACTAAAACTGAGAAGGCGAATTAAATTCAACAATATTCCTGTACATAAAATCTCATAAAAATATAACCTGACTTAAATTTATATAAACAAAGCATGCTTGCATGAATCTCAACTGTATGAAAATTAAGAGATTGAGATTTGTTTCTTCCAACAGGAATTTCACTTGCGTATTGGATGCTCTGGAAACCACTGATTTTTTCTTTCTAATATTGTAGTGTGGTACAAATTTAAGAAGTTCCACTTTCAAATGTTATAATAATGTAGTAAATTCAAAAATTTTTAACAGACATTTATATTTCTTTACTAGACATATCTAAACCATAATAAACTACAAGATGTCATAACCTACATCTACATGGCATGGTCTAAAATGAAATTAAATTACTCTATACAACAACAACAGCCATAATGATAATTACCAGCATTACTAGAAGGAGATAAGCCAATAGGCCCTGCAGACACTGTTTGATGTGGCATAGAAGATGGATTAGCCATCCATCCTGCAAGAGATGCTGTAAGTGGTGCTGGTGCTGGTGCTGGTGCAGGCTGAAAAGGCTGGATAAGAAGAAAACATACATGGAAATCAAAATCACAAGAAATATAATATCCATGAAAATAAAAGATTAGTGTTCTGTATTGTGGGCTTACACCATGAGCACCTAGTGGTGGAAAACCACCTACTTTAGGAATGGATCCCATTAAAGGGTTAGTAACAGGAGAAGGAGCACGAGTGCCATTTGGTGGGCCACAAGTATGATCAACAAAGAGGGTTTTGATGTCAGGGTTAGGCCTTGGATTCTTGCAAAGTTGGTGCTGCCAATTCAAGCTGCAAATGAAAAACAAAAGCCAAAACATAAAAAAACTCATCTGGAATACTATATTTTAAATATCAAAGGAAATAAAAGCTGAATGACTATAATTTACTTGCCATTACCTTTGATTGATTAGTGTCCTCAACCTGGAATTTTTTAAGGTGGGAAATTGAAGCTTATCACGGAAAAGTGGATTCGCCTCAATCAATTTTTTGAGCTCAACAAACATTATAGCTCTTGCAGATTTGGTATCTCCATACTTAGATAGCTGCTCATTCTCCCTGAAATTTATTTAGGAAAAGGAAGATTATATTTAATAAGCACTTTTTATTAGAATGCTTTACCAAGTCATTGAACCAAAAATATCATGAAACAGTGTAAAGAGAGACAACAGAAACTACTTTATTGAACATTTGGTTGAAGCAGAGTAAAAGAACTTCCTACAAATTTTAGGTCAATACATCCTAACTGAAGAGGTTCTATCTGTCAAACTTTGGAATTATTTCCAAGGCTATGATCAACTAGTTAACATTTAGTTGTCAACAATCAATATCTAGGTTTTTCCATAAACTAATCCTGCACAACATCTTGTTTCCTTACTTCCTGGAATAGGAATTTCCTCTTCTTTCTTTCTTTTTCTTTTTTTTTTTTTTTTTTTTTAAAAAAAAAAAAAAAAAAACGTCATGAACCTGGTGTAGGAAGTATGTGTTATAACTTGAACCACTGAATCTCTTAATCGAATGGAAGATAAGAAATTCTTATTTCTTAACAACAAAGTGTCAGCTAATGCCTTGACATTCAGTCATATCTTTCATCTACATCTCCAAAACAAGGTTATTTGTCAATGAAACTGCTGTGCTACAATATTGATAGCCCAAAATCACATAAATAATTACAAGATCTAATATGCCACCCTTTAATTAGAATGAAAGATGGAATTAAGATACAGTGTCTTTAAAAATTTAACTCCCTTTGTATGAGTTACAAGATTAAAAACAATGGAATTTCAAGAAAACAGGATAAACAACTAGATGGTATACTACATTCCTTATTTGAGAAGACAAAGATGTGCATGTTTAAAAACACCAATCATAAGAAATTATACCAAGCACCTACCAACATAAGAAATTATATTTATTTCGCATTATCAGGAGTAAAAAAAAAAAAAAAAGCTTTTGTATGGTGACATTATATAGCTTCAGTAGCCATAAATTCATCCAACATTTGCCATCATGCCACATACATAAACAGTGATACTTCACCAAGAACACTTTGGATTACCTAAAGTTTCCCAAAGTTAAGAGCATCGTAATTTCCTTAAAAAGTTCTTCATTAAATGTAGAGAATACTTTCAAGTCTTTCGCAAGAATCTCCACAGCTCGAGCATGATCATGCCTGCAAAAAATTAAAATGATAAATATCCAGAAAATAACAGGAAGGCATTGCTTTCCACCTTTAATTGAAATACATGAATGATACTCATCGACCAATTAACTTACTTGTCAAGTGCTTCAAGGTACTTCTGTTTCCGAATCTCAAAGAAAATCTTCATCGAGTATCTATTATCATCAACCTTGGTAAACCCAGCTAGGTACTTCTCCACCTCATCCCATTCACCATTGGCTACACAGTCTTCAAAATATCGCATATTGAAGAAAAACCCTGACTCTTTCTCTAATCTATAAATATAGCAAAACAAAAGGACCAAGGCATCACAATTCAACTCTATAATATAAGCTCTTTCAGTGACCAGGAAACAAAATCTTGGGGGGGGGAAAAAAGCAAAATCAAACTGCTGGATAAATCATTATCTCACATCCGCCTGCCATTCAGTCTCAATTTTAGGTCAATCATAATTTGCCCATAAAAGGGGAAATTAATATAAACCACCGTTTGACTCACGAGTCATTCCCTCTCCTTTCCTCCATTTTCCCTCGATTTCCAAGGAACCAAACAAACCAAACTTTTAACCAAATTAAACAAATTTCAGAAAAAAAAATTTTTTTTTTTTGAAAAAGTGAAACACGCTTACTTGTGAACAGTCTCCTTGAATTTCTCTTCTTCCAGAAACTGAAGTATCAGAAAAACCAGCTCTCTGCTCAGGGAAGACATTCTCCCTCCCTCTTAGATCCAAAATCAAAAAACAAAAGCCACGAATCTCACAGATCGATCCAACAACACTTGAATCACACCATAAAAAGAGCCGATCCAAGCACGAAGAGCTCCACAGACAGGTACTGCAGAGATCCGTGCACCTTTTCTGCTGGAATTGACTTGGGAGAAGCAGAAGAAACAGCAGATCGAGAGCAGAAGAAAGAGAGAGAAGAGGCGTGAAATGAGGGGAGAGGGTGGGGTGGTTTTATAGCGTGTTCCCTATTTATAGCACTGGGTTTTTGGAAATGGGAATTATTACGGCCATCAAATTAAGGAGAATGCTGTGAAATTAAAAAAAAAAAAAAAATCTAAAAGTCTAGAAACCGTGATAATAGTGCTTCCGTAAATGAAAATCTGCAATTAGTAATTATTATTGGCTTTTTCTGACATGTTTAATTTGTGTCTTAATATATATATTTTTATAATTAATTTATATAAAAAATAATAATAAATTTTAATTTTAATATTAATAATTAATTTTATAAAAAATATTTTAATAAAATAATTAATAAAAATAATAATATTTTTTATTTTTTAATATAAATTAATAATTAAAAGGTAAAGATAACTTTAAAACATAGGATTAAAAATTTTACCATAATTATTTTATTTTTTAATTTTCATTTTTCATGGAAAACTATTAGTAGTATTGTATTCCTTTTTCAAGTGTCTTTGGCAAAGTTTTGAAAAATAATTATTTTAAAGTAATTTTTTTATGAATTTAAAATTTTATTGAAAGAAAAATTAAAAATTAACCTTAAAATAATTTTAAGTAATTTTTTAATAAATTTTTAAACAAATTTTGAGGGAGTATAGATGTGTGGTTTTCTCAAAATATAGTTAAAAACTATTTTGAAAGTTAATTTTTAAATTTTTTAAACAAAATTTTAAATTTGTAAGAACAAAATTTACCTTTAAAATAAGTGTGTTTTAAATTTTACCAAACAGAAACACTCTCCTAATCCAACTATTAAGTAATCAAAAATATAAATATCCATTACTCTTTTTATTTCAAAATAATTGTTTGTATTTTAATTTTGATTTTATTCTAAATCAATTATTATTTTTTTATTTTGTTAAAATAATTTTTTTTACTTTAACATTATCATTATCTATTTATTTTAATAAATTATCATATCATGAAAATTCTTACTTTATTTTATAGTTTTTTCATATTATAAAAAATATTACTTTATTTTATAGCTTTTTTTCTAAGAATAATATAGGCAAATACATAAATGGTCCTCAAACCATTTATTTGGAGAAAAAAGTCAAAAAATAATAAGTATTTTTTCTATTTTAACCCTATCATTATTTATCTATTTTGATTAATTATATTATCACAAAAAATCGTATTCTATCTTTTAACTTTTTCTTAAAAATAATATTTTTTTTATGTCTGGTTATAACTTAGTTAAAAGGAAATAACCCTCTCTTATTTTTAAATCCCTCATTCACATGATTCAGAACTTAAATTTAAAATTTTTAATTTGAAATTTTAAACTTTTAACCATTAAATCACCTCAATAAGATTATTTATATAAATAAATATATAAATGGTTTTCACACCTTTAATTAAAAAAATCAAAAATAAAAATTATTATAGAAAAAAAAGTATTAATTTTCAACTACTTCTCAACAACTGCTCCAAGCAGCTCCTCAAACTTTTAATATGTTTAAAAAAATTTATAAATAATTTACAAGTTTAAGAATTTATGCAATTCAACATTTATATCATCAAAGAGAAAATGCAAGGATTCAAAGAAAAGATTGGTATTTCCCATAGCATTTCTTTAAAGATTAAAATTTAATATAAGTACTATTAAGATAGCATTTTTTTTATTTTAAGTTGCATAATAACTCATTTGTATGTATGCAATATAAACTAATTTTTTTTAAAAATTTCATAATAAGAGATATTTTTTTTTTAATTAAATTTAAAATCTTTTATTTTTAGTAAAAACTATTACCACTAAATAATCTTAATCATTAACAAACTTAGTATTCCTTCAAATGAATTAAGTTGTCTCAATTTAATTTTTATATAAAATTTGATAAGATAATTTTATATAATAAATAAATAATAGTAAAAAAATTTTATTTAAGCGAAGTACAACATATAAAAGAAAATAAATTTTAATTATTATTTATTTAAAATATAAAATTATTAAACAAATTATATATATGAATTAATTGAAACAACTAAATCTATCTAAATAGTGTTATTAATTACATAAGTTAGTGAGACTTTCCTCGGGGCACTTTAATCTAACTCATTTGAAAGATACCACTTTTGATGTTTAAACAGATTAACTACATTCTGACCATTTACGTAAAATGAATTAAAATTTAAAAATAAACCTCTTACGTAGTATTTACCAACCCACAATAATATGAATAATGATAAAAAAAAATCGAAAAAAAAAGTAATATATTAATAAAATAAAATTCCCATTCATCTCATTTTTTTTACATTTTTTTCATATCATTAGTTTCATAAATTCGTCTCATTTTTTCATCTGTGTATCATTGCTCCAATAATATTAGTCCAAAATTAAAGATGGTCAATTAATTAATCCGAGGAGCAACAAGTCTTAACTCGCCGCACCAGTTTTTGTCCATATATGGCACATTTAACAATATTTCTCAGGTTCCATATAAAAAAAAAAAAAATCTCAGGAGGTTTATTTCACGCTCCTTCATGCGCGAGTGTTCATGTGTTGACCTCGAGGAACACGCAAAATAAATGAAAGTGGCTACACCGATTATCATAATGAAACACGTGGAGGCATTGAAACAGCGGAGATGACGTATGATAGGAACTTTGGCCCCGAAATTTAACGCGCTTGATTAGGCTGGTTTAGGTTTGTGGCAACTTGCAGAAGGAGTTGAGATAGCCAACAGTTCTTATCCACAGGTACTTATCAAGGAGTGATATGCTATATGGCCTATCATTCACAAAGAAAAAGAATCGCGTGTTCTTCGGGACGAAGCAAAGGTTTTGCCGTTTTGGTCAC